TGTGTGTGTGTGTGTGTGTGTGTGTGTGTGTGTGTGTGTGTGTGTGTGTGTGTGTTAAGCCTGAAGAAGAGATGTAGCCTCTTTTCATACATTTCAGTTTTAATATGAGTTTATTAAAAAAAAACGTAGGGTGTTATTTGGCAGAGAATAACTAGAAAAAAGCTTTGCTCAGTGTTAAATTCCATTTGTTATCAGGTGATATTCTCTCCATTGCTCTATTGAAGAGCTTGTAGCACAAGTTTGGAAGACAACCAGTTTTTCTGAACATCAGTGAATATGCACAGATGAACAAATTATGGTCARTTGTTTCAGTATCAACTTAGCCAAAAAAAAAAGGCCAATAGTGAAGTTATTCTGAAAGTTCAATCTTAAAGACCTAATTGGATGGATAGTTAATACGTTCTCCCATTTTTATTTTTTATTATATTTTATTTTAATTTATTTATTTATTTTTTTACATTTGGAAAACATGATAGCGTTCCTTCTTCAACTAGAAAGACGTTGTCATCGCACAGTCCCAGCAGTATTTAGAGATGAACTTTTGGCTCGAAAAATGTGAATTTATTCTAAAATTCAGCTGTTGGTATGTTTGAAATCCTGTTTTTATTATTATTTTCTTATCTACTACTACATTTGATTCTTGTGAGAACAGAAAACACTGGAGATTTTTTACTTTTTTAAACACTTAGCTTTGTGCTAACGGTAGAAAACTGTACTGTAACACTGAGGGTCAGACATTTTCTGTCCTTTACATTGTCTTTCTTTTTACCTCAGGAATTAAATCATGTAAATAATGTATTTTCTAAACATGAACCAGAAGCAGAAGCAGTCTGTTATTTAAGGCTTTGTTAAGCCAATAATAAAACTCCACAGTACGTTAAATACTGTATACAGAGTAAAGATAAGTTATATTCTTAAACACTACAACGATCRCACAAATGATCCTGTTTGATTACTTGTTAAGCTCAGATTGTTGTGTAATATTTATTTAGTACTTGTGCAAAGGTATATGGTTTTGTAACCATGTTTTTATTTTTTAAATGGGTACTTTTCAACAATCCGAAGCAAAAAACAATGTAGCATGAAATTGTGTTAAAATTTTGAACAGCTTGCTTTTCAAACACTCATAATTTGTCATACTTCAGATGTAAAAAACAAAACAAAAACTWATATGATTTTGTGCTTGTGTTGGTGAATTTCTCTTCATTTAAAAGTGTGTTTATTTTTTTTATTATTATTTTCCATTTTGTGCTTATGGAATAAAATGCTTGATTTGTGTTGTTTTACCTGCTAATAAATCCTCTGGACAATTTTTATTAGCAGTGCTTTCATTGTAGCTTTAGCTGTTACAACACAGGCATGGCAGCCGGTGAACAACAGCCACRGTCTTTAGAAAGCCCTGCGAGCAGGTGGAAATAGACAAATCCAATCAATTAACTTCAGCCGAGGGATCTGCGTTTCTGGAAGTATCGCTTAAATGGGAAATGGGAAAAAAAAGGGATGGACTCTGACAACTACGAAATCCAAAGTATCTTGTTCCTAGCGGTGATTAATTAGTGAGTAATTTAGATTTTAACGGCGTTATAAGTGAAGAAAGAATTAGATGTTAGACACCTGACTCRACTGTGGCGTAACTTGACACAAGGTTCAAATTTAAAGGCATCCCGGCATCGGTAACTGTGATGGGTGATTATAAGTTTACTGAGGTCCARTATCCAATTAAAAGCTCCTACTTAGTAATTAAAATCTGTATTAAAGTGGACTTTAGGAAGTTCTCAGTAAAGCTTCGGTTTGACGAGGACTGGGTTGCCTCTGCAGAACCAGGAAACATTTACGCTCCAGCTAGACAAGGAAAAATGATATTGCTAAACATGTCCAGGTATGGCAGGCCATGTTAACATAGGGCTGGCTTCATCTGACTGTCTGTATTTACATTCAAAATACCTAAAAATTAGTTGTGACTAGGAACAACTACATTTTGAACATCCTGAATGGTAATGTGAGAAATCTATTTGTGTTCTGACTAGTAGAAGAACAAGATATCTTAAAAGGAATTTTAACTAGTCAAAATGTAAATCAAAATATCCTAAATTATGTCATTATTTGAAGGGTCAATTAAGAAATTGTGCACAAGACCCCCTGCTGCCACTGAGCTGCGTGGCTGTAATGACAGACAATAAATTACCTGTTTCTTAACTCATGCCGAGCTGCAGCAAAAAAAATGTGTTAAAAACACTTTGAGTTGGATTRACCTGAAACTGCAGACCACTGAACAGCAAATTAAGGTAAGGCTAGTGGCTCAGTAAGGCTAAAATGTCTCAGAAGCTTCCACCAAATGTGTAAATCTGTGACATTTGGACTAAACAGAATAATTATTGAAGATATCTTCAATTATCATTCTAACTAGTCAAAATGCTAATTCAATTTATTTTAAAAGCTATCTAAATGAAAAAAATATTTAAGATACTGTATCTCTAATTTATGTGGAGATATCTTAAAAGGAATCTTGACTTGTCAAAAATACACTTCTAGATATTTATAATTTAGTTTTGCCGAGTCATTTGCTTTCAAGTTATCTGCAATTTAATTTGCACTAGTCGAATTCATACATCTGATATCTACATTTAATGTTTCTTAAATTATGATGTAATTTATCTTTAATTAGAATTATAACTAGTCAGAACTRAAAGCAAGATATACTGAAAGCAAATAATTACTAGTCTAACTTAGCGATATTAGAACTGTATTTTTGACAAGTCAAAATTAATTTAAGATATTTTGAACTGGAGCCTCCATACTACTTAACGGTAAATCTGAGGTCATTTTTTTACTAGTCAAAATGTAATTAGAGATATCTCAAATGGGTATTTTGACTTGTCAAAATAGAATTGGAGATATCTGGAATATTGATTTTGATTTGATTTTGATTTATTTATTTAACAGGAAAAGATCATTAAAAATCAAGCCTGACTCAGCATAATTGCTGTTTTACAGCAGGTTCCTGTTCTGCAGCACATAAAACACTCAGAATTACAGCATCACAATCACATCATTATTATTACACCATAGACACAAAGACAAACAAGCATACCAAATTTCAAAAAGGCAGCATTTGCAAAATCGGACGTCTAAATATGAGCACAACAAAAAGTGTCCAGCAGATGGCAGACAAGATTCTTCTTAAAGGGCTGTAGTTTTGAAATGGACTTTATGTTTTGAGGAATGTCATTCCATGCTTTAGTATAAACATAGAAGAAAGACCTCTGGCCGTAACAGTTTTTAAAAGTTGGTAATATCAGTTGTCCTTTTGTAACAGATCTAGTTGAATGACCACTTCCAGAATTTGATTTGGGCAACAATGCACAGAGAGTTCCATAATTGGCACCTTGGAAGATCTGAAAATATAAATTAATCCCACTATACAAAACATAATTCTGAAAAGTCAAGGCATCAGACAATGAAAGAACTGTACAGTGATGAGTCCAACCAGGAAGTTTTTTATGAATTTTGTAGGCCCTGTTGTAGAGCCTAACTATGGGTTCTAAGATTTCATTTGTTGTAAGAGACCAAACAGGTAAACAGTACGACATGGTTGAGAGTATAATGGCATGAAGATAGATATTTGAAACMGAAGATGTCARATTGGATCTAWTTTTTGAATAAACGTATAATTTCTGTTTCAACGTAGTGGTTAAGACTTGTACATGATCACGATAAGTCAAATGAGAATCCAAAGTAATTCCAAGATATTTGTAGGTAGTGACAATGTATATGTATAWAAATGTTGTGAATCTGATTTTGTGTTAAAATGGCCTGCCACAGTCTGGCAATTTCATTGGCGAGCCAGCCATCTGGTGGTGAAGTACAACACGTGTGACATTCGGCACTTGACAATAGGGCTGAGGCGCTGTGGCATTTCRTGGCTAAGCCTGCATTACTGGGCCAGATAATGAGTCTGGGTGCACGAGAACTTGTAGCACGCAACYGTTATGTTTTAGCTTTAGATTGACCTAATCATCATCTGTCTAATAAAGTATTGTTGTCTTAACTTCTGATCAGTTGACCTCACTTATTACTTCCATTCTTAATACAAAGGAGGGTCTTCATGCAGCTCTTTATGTTTTTGAGACTTTGTTTCCTCTCACTGAAGCCATTATTAACACATATTACCAGATGCTACAGATTCAGACTTAGCAGTGACTTTTATGTTTCATGAATAAATGTGTTGATTTACACCCCTGCTCGGTGGTAAATATGTGGCAGAAGGTGCATAAWTGTTAAGATTAGGGGGCGGTGGATCAGGATAGGCAGGTTTGGTGAGGTAAAGTGGGGTTTATCTCAACAGCTTTGGGGAGTGAAGGCTTATCTGGGTCAGAGATCTTTGTGACATAAGCAATTAGAGTTGCCCTCCCTTGTGTACGCTAGCAGGAGGGAGGCCTCCCACCGCCGAGATTAGCCGC